TTCCCTACAAAAGGTGACGCATTATAAATAACAATCTAATTCAAGCGGTTAAAAAACACAATCTAATTCAAGACCTCAGAACAAGCAACCAACTTAAAGCACTGCTCCGCCTCCATTGTTTTTTTCTTTTGCTTAAAGTTTGCTAATAAGGTCAACATGAAATTACTAAATGCAGAGATCGTGTATCTCTAGTAATTCACCAGGCCATGCTGAGATGCCCACATGTTTCAGGACTGGTAAAACAGGATTTGCACCATCGATATCAAGAACGATTTCTCCCTTGGCAAGCTGAAGGCAAGCAACCGATGGTCCTAAAGAGCATTTTGCAGCCTTGATAATCCTACAAAGAAAATTGGTGAGGCAAAATATCATCTTGTAAATATGTGAAACAACCATGATTTATTGTAACTCGTATCAATCCGTATCAGATCCATGAAGCCACTACGATATCCACAGTCATTCCTTCTTGCTCTTGATAGCGGAATAAACAAAACGAAAACAACATATGCATCCAGAAGTATAATCCCAAATAGACTGAAGTATTCCAGTGCCCAAAAAGAAGATAAAAAGGTGTCACCAGTTATGAAGCTTTACCAATCAGATGATGAGATAGGTCAATCAATGCAGCAAAGCAAATTGAGAAACAGAGAAGAAGAATTGGTAAGTCCATACTTGTCAAGTGTACGTATGTATTTGTCATATATGAGGAAGTGAAGCCTATGTCCTGAAGAGCTCGTAAGAGCGTCAAAGAGATTATGTACAGTTATAGCGTCCGCAATGGCAGGGCAAACAGGAGCAATTCTAGCAAAAGCCTCTTGCCCAACGGACTTCTTGTCATCCACCTATCAAGCATATTTAAAAAGGGAACTTTTACAATCATCGCAATCCATTCCTGTCTCGATGAAGAAGCAAAGCACCTTAAAAAATGAAATGAACCTGCACTGCCATATTTGTGGAACTCGAATAAAATAGTGACCACCCATCCTCATCCTCTACCTCCTGTTTAGGAGATTCTACATCCTGAAATTCGAAAAAAAAAAAGCAAAAAGACATTGATCAGTGCATCAATACTGCTATAAGATAAAGGAAATCAACAGAATGATCAGATAGCTTCCTGACTTTGTTTTCCTGCTCGCTTGTAACACTGGGGGTCTCCCAAGCAAGCATCATATCGAATGTTAGCTGCCGGAATTCCTGATCACTTAGGTAATCGGGTTGCTTCATCACTTGGTGGAGTGCTTGAAATGAGCAGAATTCAAGAAAGTTCCTCGCATATGTCAAGAGTTGCTTGACGCTCTCAGGCAACTCCACATCAAAACGATGCTGCAGATCCTCTGTTGGAGCCCTAAGGATCCTGCGATTGCACACAAACCCACGAAATTTCTCTAAGGCAATATACAGAATTGCATTTCCAAGCTAACGAAAATCCACTCAGAATGGCACAAAGATCAAGGAAAACCATATAGCCTAAAGATACATCACGAGGATAACCCAGAATCCGGAAAGTGACAGAATCTCAAATTTGTTAAGAGAAAAAAACACAGATACACACAGCGAGAGAGAGAGAGAGAGAGAGAGTACTTGGAACAGCGAGAGACGACGGAATTGGCGAGGGGAGAGAGCTGAGGGATGGGCTTCGGGGAAGCGACAGCCGACGGAGAACAATCTCCGTCGCGACCGGAGGGCGACTTCTTTCGCTGGAAGAGGGATTTCAACGAGCTCTGATGGGTTCTCATGAAACCCTCCAGCATCCCCACCTTCACACCACCACCACCGTCACCGCCTTCTTCCATCTCGCGAAACTACAATCAGAATCGATTTCGACCAGAAAACGGGCGCTCGCGTCTAGGACTCCTCAGATCCTCGTCGCGATGAGATTCGTATCCGTCTCGTCATGCAATTGCCTTTCTTCCCCAGCACGCTTCGTACGGCAGTTGCTCCCACGTCGCCTAATCCATTTGATTTGAGATCCTTCGAGCCCACATACACCCTTTTTCCTTAAATAGCCCCAAAAAATATTATTTATTACTTTTTTTTAAAGTGCGTTATTCAATAACACAATATCCATAAACATCCAAAATATGCAATTTTTTAGCTTATTTTAATTAATAAAATGTAATTAATGAACTACGATTAAAACATCAAGCATGCAGTTCTCCAACTTTGACAATTCACTGTGAGAGTCTTTAATCTTCATGGGAGAGAGTTAAAGCTTCATCTTTTGGCAAAATAGAATCCAACAAGAAGAATTTCTGCTTCTGCTTCTGCTGCTGCTGCTAAAACTCCTCCATTGTTGCTCTGCTAAAGCTTGGACTTACCACTGCGTGGCTCCTTGGCCCAGATGGGAGGGATGATTCTGTAGTTGTCATGAACCGCCTGCTCTGCCTTTTTCTCGGTTCCTTCTTCTACTTTCTCCTCGTCCTCCAAAACGTCTTTCGAAAACGCATCTGGATTAGCCTTGATACAGTTCTGCAACGCCACGAATGGATTCACACAGTCTGATCCCTGCCAGCACATGAAGAAATCTCCTCCATTCATGTCACAGAATGTCCAATTATGGATATGAATAAAAGACAATCGCCACTTTTTAGTACATATCTATCTATGCTGCTACCAGATGGGTGGGACAGAAGATTTAAGGCCTTTTTTCCTTCAGAATTCTCCCATGATTACCCGACATTCACTAGGAAGGAGAAGGAGGAAACTATAAGATAGATACCTTTTCTTCGGCTGTGCTCTTGAGAAAGCAAAGGAAGGCCTCGGAGAACTGAGACCCGCAAGGGCCACTACGCAAGTCTGCAATACAAGGGCATTCGAGTGCTTTCTCTGCTTTCGCTTCGATTGACTGATGAATTTCTTTGTGTCAGATTCTAAGAATTTTAAGAGGAATTCAAATATTAGCAGAGGAGGAGGACCAACCTCATTCTCATCACCACCACCACCATATGCTGCAGCTTCTGCAATGTCGAGAGAGAATGTAATGTCAGGACATAAAGATGAACCCTTTTGGAGGTTGAGGGATCAACAGAATCACAAGCAACAATCCCAATGATAACCACATGAAATGAAAGAAACAGAGAGATCTTCGACAAACATTTGCCAAGAATATTACTGCATTGATATTTCCCGTAGATCCATTGAACAGATACTGCATTAGAGAATCCACAACTCTGTAGTCATGAACCGAGAATATGGCACTCAAACACAAGGGTAGCGATCGACAAGAGACTCCACTGGATATCAATTAGCAACCGATAATATATGTTCCCAAATAGTTGAATACAGAAAACACGCAATCAATGCTCGACAAGGATAACGATCCAAGCGGTTCATATCCTACTCCTCATCAATCTTATCTCCATAACTAACATCTACCTTCTGCTTCTACTCCACTGTCAACAGAGTTTTTGTCTGAATTCCCGAATTAGGGAAATGTCCTCTCGGGCAATCTTGATTCATCGCAGAAAAAGAACCCCAAACTGAGAAAGAGAGATCAAAGGCGAAGAAGAAGGAACCTGCAAGAAGAGAACCCATGGGAGAAGACGAAGCGTCAGCAGCATCAGACTCGGGCAACGAGGTCGAAGCCGACGGAGAATTCTCGTAACTCTGAGCTTGACCCATCTCCACCTTTCGCTCAAGAACTCTACAAACACCGAAAAGTCAGCAGCTTTCCGGCGAATCTGGACGAGCCGCGGATCGGAGGAGGGAGGAGAAAAGATCGAATCTTTCCCATGCCCTTCAAGCCCAAATTGTTAGAACCAATGGGCTCTGTTCAGTTTCTCCTCATCTGTTGGGCCGAATATCCATGCGATTCGGAAAATATATATATATATATATATTATATATAAAATAGTGATTGATTTTGAAACGGACATGGTTCACATGTTCCGGTGACAAAGGAGCCACAAGAAGGTGAGTTTTTTTTTCCGACATGAAAAATGGGCAAAGGAAATGTAATGATGTGATCTTAGGTTTGTCAAGTGAATGAGCATCTGTAGGTCCTCCTTCAATTGACACTTTATACATCTCAAATTTTGATTACAAAAAAAATAATAAAAAATCAAAATTCATGAACCCTTCACCATAACGACTCCATTATTATAAAATTTTAAAAAAAATAGCTGTCATAATCAACCAACGTTCTTCCCATTCAAAAAAAAAATAATTAAAGATTTACTCGGTAATTAGTTTTTAAAAAGGGAAAAAATATGGTAAACGTTATGTCATTAGTTAAATAAAAATCTATTGACAAAGAAAGCGTGGTATGGATTTTGTGGAATGGAATCGAATCATCAATCATTTGGAGATCATATTAAAATTAAAATTAAAATTAGTAGGTGGTAAATAATGTATGTCCCTGCTGCTACGTGGACCACTCTTTTCATCCACCGCAATTGGCGCACTGCCCCTCTTAACAATCTCCACCGGACACAAAGGGAGAATAGAGAGAGAGAGAGAGACTAATTTAAAATCAAAACTCATATTTATATGTAATTTGAGGCCATCAAAACCACCAAACGCTTTTAGAAAATATAATTTAATTTTGGAATATTTGTTTATCGTTTATGCAAATTTTAGGATGTATAGTTTTTTTATATAAAAATTTGTAGATAAAAACTTGTGTGTTTAGGTTCTCGTGTTTTCCCCAAAAAATTTTACATGAGAAATGGAAAACGGAACAACGGGAAAAAAATGTGTAGGTGCGATTGACTTTAGAGGAGAAAAAAAGGTTATGGACCGAATTATCAGCCATGACCGTTTTTTTATAAAATTGAACCAATTTCAACGACCGTTTACTAAAACATTGATTTTCACTTTTTTTTTATTTTCTTTATTTTTTGTTTATCAATTTACGATTTGATTTATCCTTGCCCAACAAAAATAAACACCAGAACATTCAATGAAATATTAATTATCAACAAATCTATCTCTTTGTTAAAACATTTAAACAACATATATATCTTTTAATTATGTTGTCTATTTGAATTTAATTTAAAATATATTTATGATATTGAACGATTTGAATCTATCATTATAGGAAATTAATTAATGTTGAACTAAAATAAATAATTAGTATAATAATATTTCTAGATATATCATAAATCTCTTTAGATTTATAACAAAAAGTAACGTTTCAATTATATTATTTTAAAAAATCAAAGATTTTTTTTTTTGTGTGTTTATCCACACCAAGCAAAATCCGAGAAAAAGATTTTTGTGTCAAATTAACTAGTAGGCAAAACTCTGCACTATAAAGAAAAGACAAAACCTCGTTACACACACACACACACATATATATATATATATGCACATCTACATGTGTGTGTACAGTGAGAGAATCTAAGGTAAATAAATAGGAGTCCGAATCCAATCCGATTACATTGTGGGAATATACCAAGACAAAATTTGAATTGGATGGACCGTTGCAACCTAATACATGCATCAACTAACTACCAATTTGTATGGTATATATATATATATATATATATATATATATATCATACAGAATTACAAGTGAAAATAAAGCCCAAAGCGACATATTTATATTATATGATTATGAATATTATTAAGTCACCCTCTAACATGAGTGACCATAGATAGATATTGAGGCATGAACTCACATGAACACATTTAATTATGTTACATGTCATAGCCTTGCCTCAATTGTGGGGGTTAAAACTTAAAAGAGGAGGAAGATTTTAAACTCGTTGGCGCTCCAACGTTCAAAATTGCAATTGGGATTCCCGTGATTAATCCAACGGTCAAAATTTCTCCATGTGAATATCTTCAAACTTGTGTAAATGTAAAAAAAAAAGGAATGATCTTTTTTTTTTCACCACTGCTATAAATAAAGGAAGGAAAATTTTGGCAGATCCCCAGCAGAGAAAGACTTGTAATTCACCATTCTCAAGACATTTTTTCAGGGAGAAAAGGAACGACCTTTTCTCTGTCCCTCTTTTTCTTTTTCGTTGGATCATCATATGCCTTCCTGTCTAAGTGAAGGAACAATAATAAATTAGTTCTTGTCCGTTTTCCTTTATCCTCATTCGACCGAACCCCCCATCCTTCTCAGATTCCTTGTCTGAAATTCGCTTTCTTCTTCTGTTGATTTTTAAGTCAATTTCGTTAATCCGATCAATACCCACTTCACAAAATGCAGATTCTGAGATGGGTTTTCAAGCTCTTGTTGGTTTCCGCAGTTTTTCAAACTCACTCAGCATCACAAGCAGAGCCTGTCATCTGCTCAAGTCAAGACAGAGCAGCACTTCTCGGCTTCAAGTCTAGCATCTCCAAGGACACTACAGGGATTCTGTCCTCCTGGATTGGGAGAGACTGCTGCAATGGCGATTGGGAAGGAGTTCAATGCAATCAAGCCACTGGAAGAGTCACCAACTTGGTCCTGCAAAGCTCCATCAGAGAACCTGACCTCTATATGAAGGGCACTCTATCCCCTTCATTGGGAAATCTCCGGTTTCTGGAGGTATTGGTCATAACTGGAATGAGGTACATCACTGGATCAATCCCTGATGGCTTCACCAATCTGACCCATCTTACACAGTTGGTCCTCGAAGACAATTCTCTCGGAGGGAATGTCCCTTCGAGTTTAGGTCGCCTGCCGTTGTTGCGGACTCTGTCACTTGCTGGTAACCGATTTGCGGGCCCTGTCCCAGCAAGTTTGGGGAACCTGAGAAGCCTTGTCCTGATGAACTTGGCAAGAAACTCTCTATCCGGTCCGATCCCACCGACCTTCAAGAGCTTCCTCAACCTGCAGTCCCTTGATCTCAGCTTCAATTTGTTATCTGGGCCAATCCCAGATTTCATAGGACAGTTTCGAAATCTAACGTATCTTGATCTTTCCAGCAACAAGCTCTCAGGGCCACTGCCGGTTTCCATTTACGCATTAGGGAAGCTGCAGGACTTGTCATTGGGGCATAATGAGTTGAGTGGATCACTTTCAGACAGAATCAGCAATCTGAAGTCACTCACCAGCCTCCACTTGAGTGGAAACAATTTCGGCGGCCACATTCCTGCATCCATCTCAACATTGCACAACCTCTGGTCCCTCAATGTTTCAAGAAATCAGTTCTCTGATCCTTTACCAGCTGTTTCTGGCAGGGACTTTCCTTCGTTGTTGTCCATTGATTTTTCCTACAACAACCTCAACTTAGGGACAATTCCAAATTGGATAAGGGACAAATCGCTTTCAGATGTCAACTTAGCTGGTTGTAAACTGAGAGGAGCCCTCCCAAAGCTGACAAGACCCCATGCCTTGATGTCCTTAGACTTGTCAGACAATTTTCTAACAGGTGATCTTTCAGCTTTCCTTGCAAACATGACCAGCTTGCAGAAACTGAAGCTCTCAAAGAACCAACTCAAGTTTGATCTCTCCAAACTCAAGTTGCCGGAAGGAATCTCTTCCATTGATCTCAGTTCAAATCAAGTGTCTGGATCACTTTCAAGCCTGTTAAACAACCAGACAAGCAGCTTTCTGGAAGAGATTGATGTCACAAATAACCAAGTCTCAGGGAGCATTCCCGATACCACGGAAGGCTTAAACCTGAGAATTCTCAACATAGGGAGCAACAGAATCGGAGGCCAAATCCCGAGTTCAATATCGAACCTTGTTGAACTCGAGCGATTAGATATCTCGAGAAATCACATAACAGGCGGCATCCCTCCCGGTCTAGGCCAGCTCATGAAACTCCACTGGCTTGACCTTTCCATCAATTCGCTCACAGGAAGAATCCCTGATAGCTTATTGAACATCAAATCGCTGAAACATGCAAGTTTCAGGGCAAACAGATTGTGCGGAGGGATCCCTCAAGGAAGGCCATTCAACATCTTCCCTGCAGCTGCTTATCTTCACAACCTTTGCTTGTGCGGAAAACCGTTACCGCCTTGCAGGAAGGCTATGAAGTGAAGACAAGAGATGGGTCAGTGTTACGCTGACTCAAACATATCAATATGAAACAAGAAATAGATAATAGCTTCGGGGTTTTTTACATGTTCTGTTCTATTGTTTCAACATCTACCTGTATACTCTCTGGTTCCAATTTTATTCATAATAAATTATATCTTTTCAAGCAGACATTAAGCTAAATCTCCATCGAAATGCCAAGCCTTCTCTCCATTAGATTATCAAATAACCAAATCTTGCTGAAAGGGAACGGATCCAACAACACGAATTCTCATTCCATCCTCAAACGTGAATCTGAAAAATGAACTTTCAAATGCATCTGTGAGTATCTGGCTAACGAGCATGCCATAACCGAATTTCGAAACCTACAATGCCAGCTGATTCGGAGAGATTTGATTCGTTATCACGTAACGACAAGCACTAGCAAGCTTAATCAGGTAAAGTAAAGATCATGACCTTTCTAGTAGTAATGGAGAATCTCTTCCTCTTGCTTCTCTTCAACCCCATCATTCTTTCTTCATTCTCTTCAGCAACAAAACGATTTCTCGAGAAAACGATGAGCAATTTCGAAGATCTACGAAGCGAGCAAGATGATAAACGGAAGAACATTTAAGAAGGAAAGCGAAACTCAGTTTTTTCAATTTACGGCGCCAATGCATCCCGCGGATGCGGCGGTTTCATTTGGGGTTCGACGGATTGCTGAGTCGGCTATCTCATCCACCGTTAACTTTTATCTGTCCAACGGACGGTTTAGATTTACTTACTTTAATGGGCCTTTCATTTATTCATTTTCTGGGCTTAAGGCCCATATTGACCCAAACTTTTAAGTTACACGTGCAACCCCTCTTCAGTCTTCCCCCAATTTCGGTTCGCTTCAATTAGGTGAAACCGGAATAAACCACAACCAAACCGGAAATCAAAGAGTTTAGGCCAGAAAGACATGAAATCCAGCAAACGTAGAAATATGCGTTTACTCTTGAGGGAAGAACTCTGAACACGTTTTGTCAAAAAAAAAAAAAAAAAAAAGAATTTTTGGTATCCATAAAAAAGAAAAAAAAAGAATAGCTAAAAACAA